CTTCAATAACTATAAAACGAGAACCAGTGTTAGTTGTCTTCTGTATTAGCTCTTTTTTATCCACTATTTTGACTTTTGAGCTTGGTGGCTTTCCATAATTCTTTCTGGCTATCATCCATGGTCCGAATTTTTTATTTTCATGCTTCTTATTTCGATTGTTGTTCTACTCCTCCATATTCAAACTTTTATCTTTATTCTTAGTTGCTTGGTCCATATTCTTGATAGAGCACACTTCTGTATTATGCCCAAACCTACCACATTGAAAGTACACCATCTGAATATCTTCATACTCAACTCTCTGCCAACGTCCATCGATAACACTTTTGGAACCAATGGCTTTCTAAGATCCACATTTACATACCACCCTGCAAATTGTCCTTTAAAAATATCAGATGTGATGAGATTAATCTTCAACGTTCGGCTTACTGCATTTTAAATCCTCGTTAGTACAACTCGATCATAGAATTCTAAGGGCATTCTTGGCAATATAATCCATCCCACAACGGAGTACACAGTTCTTTCTTCTTATCTAAATCTTGGAAATCAACTTCTAATGGTGAGGTAGTGTCCTGCAATGATCCATGGCCCATCAGTGAGAACATGAAAGTAATCAAAGTTGTTGCTGAACCGAACGCAGTAATACCCATTGTCCGAGTCTACCATTTGAAACTCTCCTTGTAATGACCATAATTGTCTGATTCTATTACACAGATAAGTATAACTAATATCACGACCTAGCAGCTTCACAATCAGAGTATGCTTCCAAGGCTGACGGATACGTTTCTTTTCCTCCTTAGTCAATCGAATAAAGGGTCCCAGTAGTGCTTGGTCCATAGTTTCATTATCAGAATCAAATTCATAAATAAACTCTCCATCTTTCTCAGTATTATCGTTCTCCTGTCCGATAGCATGGCTACCACTAACGAGCATATTGCGATAGGAGTAGTTCATGTTCTCTTCTAGTTCTAAGCGTGAAATGTGCCCAGTCTCAATATTCTGCCTAGATCTATCAAAGGTTTCTTCGATTCTTGAACGTACTCGTGCTTTCTCATTTGGTAAGGATTCATGAAAATCGGCCAACGAAGGAGGATCCCTTATCGAATCTGCCACCATGAAGGGACAGAGGTAGGGTTTTTCGCTCAATAGTGTATTTTAGTGTAGCAACCT